AGTAGGTTCACCCTGGAGTAGACTCACCTCTTCTCACCCAAGAGGCAGCCCCCCACTCCAGTACATACAACCCCTTAATTCTAAAAAGAGAAATGAAGGGGAAATATCAAGGCCAGAGTCCTTCTTCCCAGTACCTCTGGGTATGGTCCACCACTCCCAAACTCCAAAATAGTTATTGAGGCAGAGGAAGGAACAGTAAGGAAATTATCTATGGGCTCAAACCTCCTGGAATAAAGTGAGGTGAAGCTTCCCTAGAGTGAGGTGAAGCTTCCCTAGAGTGAAGCTTCATAATGTTCACAAACCCCTCCCATCCCAGCTGGAGGGCACTGCTCAGGGACAGTGTAGACCAGGAGGCTTAAAAATGTAAAGGGATGGGCCGAGCCCGTGGCGCACTTGGGAGGGTGCGGCGCTGCGAGCGCTGGCGCTCCCGCCGCGGGTTCGGATCCTATATAGGGATGGCTGGTGCGCTCACAGTGCTCACTGGCTGAGCGCGGTGCAGCTGGTCTCAAAAAGGACAAAAAAAAAAAAAAATGTAAAGGGGGTGATCTAGGCTCAAAATAACAAAAGAAGCAGGTATTTTACAACAGAAGCTGGGTAGAGAGCAGGAAGGCAAGCTGCAGACACATTCTGGCAGGAGAAGCAGCTGCTGGAACACTGGATCACAAGTAACAGGACTCTCCAAGGGGCCAGGGAGAAGGGGTGGACATCTAGCATTCCGTGTGGGGGTGGAGGGGTTACTGCTTCAGGCAGTAGCAGCAGCTCCAAAGTAAAGTCTTATCAAAGCTGTTATGTAACCAAGGGAGCTGAGTGGTGCACAAACACCTCCCCTCCCCAAACAGGCACCCACACCCACACCCACCACCTTCCAGCACCCACAGCAGGGGAAAGCTCAGCTCCTCCCAAGCAGCTAGAGAAGGAAGAAATCATCTTGATGAGTTACATCAAAAACATCATGGGTGAGGGGCTCCTTAACTAGAAGTCACATCTGGGAAGGGATGAACTGGTTCAGTTTGGGATTTCATAGATATGTCTCCGTTTTCTTGAACTCCCTGCCACACCCAATTTTTGCCCAGCATCATCTGGAAGCCTTCTCTTTTCTCTTCCCCTAAGAAGGATCCCATTTGAATATTTGATTTTGCTCTTGGGGATAGGAGGTGAAGCTGCCATCAAGCCCTCCTGACTGTTGTTCCCCCACAGTCTCATCTGCATGTCCTGACATTTGGCTCTCATCCCCCTGGGATGACAAAGGAAAGGACCTGGAGAAATAACTCCTTGCTATTCCCTTCGTGGTTTCAAAGACAGAGCATAAGAACCCAGATAACTGAAATGACCCTTACCCTAGGTCAGTGAGAAAAATATATCCAGGGAAACTAAGGATTGAAATCCAGACCTCATCCCCCAATTTGAATATTTTTTACTCCCGCAGATTTTCTTTTCCCACAGCCCTGTCTCCAGTAGCCTCCTCCTTCTCTTCTCCATGGCACTGAACAACCCCACCCACTCCTTGAATCTTTGCTTGGAAATCTTCCTTCCCAACAAAAGTCTCTCCCAAATGCTGCTCTGAGCTAGGTCTGGGGATGGGCCGAGCACAAGGTAGGCTTGCAGAATATTTTAGTGTCCCCTGTCCTGAATTCCAAAGTATGCTGGGCAGGGGGTTACCAATGGTCAATCAAATTATCTTGAACTCCTGAGCTCTATCAACCCCAGGCCTAACTAGCAAGACCCAAGTTCTCCTAATCCAGAACCACCTTGAGTTTTAACTACAAAGTATGCTGGGCAGGGGGTTACCAATGGTCAATCAAATTATCTTGAACTCCTGAGCTCTATCCACCCCAGGCCTAACTAGCAAGACCCAAGTTCTCCTAATCCAGAACCACCTTGAGTTTTAACTTCTGGGACCCAGTAGGAAAAAGGCTGGTGCCAGTATCCCTAAGCTTGTTGCACTAAAAACGATCCCAGAAGAGAGTTCACAGCCGCAGTATCATTCTCCATCTCTAGCCCACACTAACAGTAGACGGCTTGGAAAGAAGAGGGGGACTGCACCAGGGAAAGGAGAGGGGGACGGCAACTGGGCAACTTTTCCAAATACCACTAATAACTGTGAGGTCGAAAGCCATAGGGAAGACCCCAGAGTCTATATTTCCTTCCAGGGAGTCTGCCCTTGGAAAGTGGGTCATCTGGAAGAATTTTTCTAGTGAACCCTCAGCACTGCCCAGCCGCCTTTTCATCATCGGGCCGTACGCAGCACGGTTCAGCACCCGGGACAGCTCCCAGCACCACTCAGGGGGCCCCCTTGCCAGAAATCCAGGATGCCAGGAAGCAGGCTTACCCCACCACACACACACTCATTACAAAAGAAGCCCCTCTCCCCCTACCCTTCCCACACTCGCTCCCATCCTCCGGGAGCACCTGATACCCCTCCCTTCCCTCTATGTCCCAAGAGAGAAAAGAAATCCAGACACGGGGCTTCCCTGAGAACACCTAGAGAGAGGACCCCACCCACCTCCACCCAGAGCCTCTCAACGCCACTCACAACTGGTTCTAAAAACCACTTTCCTCTTAACCACCACCCCCAAAAAGAAAGAAATACTCACGTGGGGGCTCTCAGACCTGTAGGCAGATGTGGTGGGGGTAGGCAGAGACAGGTAGCTCCCCACACCCTGCTCTGAGCCCCCTTTCTGAAGGAGCCAGCTCCCATCTGGACTGGGGGGAGGAGAGACATGTGGAACCACTGAGTGAGAGAAGGGGAGAGGGGAGAGGAGAGGAAGCAGGAGCGGGGGACTGCTGGGCGGGGGTGTCAGGATGGGGGCGAGGGAATCCTTTTTAATTTCATTCTCTCCCCATGTCTACATCAGCCCTGCAGGCTCAGCTCTTTAATATTTACACACAGGAAGAGAAGAGGATCAGAAAGAACAGAAAGTAAAGGGGGCAGGGGCTACCTGAGCTCAAAGGGCATAGAAACAGGGGCCTTTGGGAGCTGGGAGCTTGGGCCCCCCACACCATCCCCAGCCCATTCCCACTCTGAGCTCTTGATTGCAAGGAAAAAGAAGGAACCCTGGGACCACTCTGTCCCTTTGTTAACAGGATACTTTGAAGCTGCATGAGAAAAAGATCAGATCCCCACCCACATACCTGGACACCCCCACAAACCCAGATTTCTTGGGTGCCTTATGTGCAGATGAAGCAGTATTCATGCAAAAGTATGTTCGGATGCCTGAAAACATGTTTTCCTGTGAGCTACTGTGTAAAAGCACATGAACATCTCAGCTAGCATGCAAGTTTACACAGCTTATTCTTATCCACATGTTAATGGCCCATGCAATCATATGCAAACCTATGTAACTATATGTATAAACCAGCCCCCAAGAAACTTCCCCCCAGCTCTCCAGCTAAGTCCCAGAGAAAAGGCCACCTACCACCCTGACTCCCTATTCCCAGGCCCCTCCCTTGCAGCCTCACTCTTTCTGTCTGTGACATGGGAAGAAAGGCTGGTGGGAAGGGATGCTGCACTGAGCCCAGGGGCCTGACAAGGTATTAGCAAAGATGAGCTGGCAGCTCGTTACCATAACGATGGTGCCACCGCCTCACCCCAGCTCAAACCCAGACTCCCCAGACAGCAGGAGGCCCACTGAGCCTGCAGCCCTCAGACTGAAGGGGGGGAGTGGATAAAGAGGGAACCAAGACATCATGTTTGTATAGTGGAGGGTACGCAGCTGTTCTTCCAACCCCCACCGAGAGACAAAGCTTTGACTCCTCCAAATGGGAATGAAATCAGAATCTGGGAAGTTTCTTTACCCATCAGGAACCCAATAAAGTAAGGAATTGTCAGTCCAGCTAGAGGCAAAATGCATCAGAAACTGGGAAAGATGAAGGAAAATGAGAACAGCCAGCGCAAGCCCCAACATCAGCTGGAAGAGATGATGTTAGGTGCCAGGCAGCCACTGAAAGCAAGCACGGACACAGAAGAAATCCTGGAATTCTGGCCTGCCTCAGCTTTAGCCCCCCACCAGCAGAAATCAAGACAAGCCCATGGCTTGCCTTGGTGGTGGACTTGGCTAGGAATCCCCATTCCCAGGAATATCTGTAGATCCCTCTTTGGAAAGGGGTCCCAGATTGAAGAATTTACAGCATGAGGTTTATTGAGTCTTCATTTCTTCTCCCCAAAACTCCTATACTCAGCTCTGATGGGGGTGAGGGGAGTTCAGGAATAGAAGGCAATGTGGAAGGTTGGAAAGTTCCTGAGCTATGAGTAGGCTGGGAAACCTACAAGTTAGTTGTGTGTGACCTTGGGTAGGTCCCCTCTCTTCTCTAGGCTTCAGAGTCCCCAATTTGTAATTAAGAGGTTTGACCAAGTAAATTCTAAGACTCCCCTCCCACCCCAGCCATCATCCTATAACTACATACAAGCTCACTCCTTGGACATGAGCCCCCGGCACAAAATGCAGTGAGCACTGCCTACCAGATCAGTGGGGCAGTGAGGAGTGGGGGCTGCGGAGGCTGGATCTGAGGCTGTTCATCCTATGTTCATGTTCCTTTTAGAAACACCTGCCACCCTAGCCCTCCCAGCTCTCTTTTTAGACCCTGATTCACTGCCAACTCACGAAGCCTCTCCCTCTTCTCTTCTCCCCCTCTCTCCCTTTTAGGCATTAGCAGCTGGGTGCAGAACTAGCCCCAAAATTCAGGGAATGCTGGACAGAGGAAGATGGCAGTGACCCCAGGGTTAGAAAGGGCACACTAGGGATTACCACTCTCTAACCTTGGCCCAGCCCAGCTCTTTGGGTCACTGAAAGACCTGGGTTAGAGTCTTTCTGTACCACTGACTAGGAATGTGTGATTGTGGGAAACGCAACACATCTATCAGGGCTCAACATCCTCATCTGTAAGTTGGCATTATATTAGGTTGAACCATGTGAAATTGCTGTGTTTGTAGGTAAAACAACAACAACAACAATTGAATACTAGCAATTTCATATGGCTTAACTTGATACCTGCCCCACCTGCTTCCCAAGGCTGTTGGGGAAATAAGAAGAGCTGAGAGGGAAGCATTCTCAAAAGCCCTGGACTGATATAAGGGCATTGTTTTATTATTATTATTTCAAAGAGTTAGCAAATACCCATCCTGAATCAGCGGGCAGAACCAGTGACCCAGAACTTGGAGATCTGAGGCTGTCTGGGAGAGAGCCACCTGCTCTGATGACTAACAGCAGGGCAGACACTTCCACCTGGCCTCTCAGCTCCTGGCTCAGAAGGGCCCTGGGTGAAACATTACTGAGATGAAACAAGTTCCCAGGCCCCAAGAAGGAGGAGAAGCACACACTGTCCAGCTCACTCCAGGCCCCACCACCACCAGTGGCCACAGCGTGCAAGAAGGACACAACCAGTAGCATCACAACCAGTGGGAGCCCCTGAAGTAGGTGAAGGTGGAGACCCCAGCGGTGAGTATCGTGGAGCTCTTGCCTGAGTCAGGGGTGAAGAGTCCCGGGGAGGGGGGATGATCTGACCTTTGAAAAGTGTGATCTCCCTGTCCCACCAGGAAGGGGGGGACCCAGGTGATTCAGGGAGCCCTGCTCAGTTCATTCTCAAGAGCCAACACACACACGCGCACACACACTCACTCACACTCAGTCACACAGGGCACAGATACCAGGACCCACTCACAGAGACACAGTCACACTGGCTCACACACACACATTCACACACACACTCACAGAGACATACACCGGTACACACACATGTCCACAGTGTGTGGACACATACACAGTAACACCCTCCACATTCACACTGCATACACTCACCGCCATGCACGCACACTCGCCCACAGTGACACACGCACACACTCACTGCACACACTCTCTGGCACACACATCACCCACAGACCGACAGAGTGACACACACACACATCACACACAATGACAAGCACTCACTCACACACCTGCAGAGGAAACTTCTCTCCGGATCTCCCTAACACCAGACTTCCCCCCACAACCAGCTGGCTACTCCCTCCCAGACCCGAGCCTCCAGCCGGGCAAAGGCTGGGCCGGGACTAGCCGGCCCCCGCGGCCCCAGCCGGGAGAGCGGGTCCTCGGTCCGCGTGGTCCCCAGCCCGCCCCTCGGGTCAGGCCCCTGGGCCGCCAGGCC